AAGACCACACGATAGAAGTGAAAACATCAACACGGCGGGATTAATAACAAGAAATATAAATATTGTTTTGTTCCATATACACAAAGTAATAACATTTAGAATATATACAATTATAATTATGTATAAATTTTGCTCAGATGGTTGTAACTCAAGAAGAAGTGTTGTATTCAGTTATTTTGAGGAATGTACCAATAGGTAGACACAGAACCTTGTAGCAAGGTAACAATTTAAAAAAAACGAAAAAAAAAGGATATTTTTAATACTTAACAATACATAGTTGATTGGTTGTAACTAAATTGATATAGCTTTTATATTTTATTTACATAAAAACTCCCAGTGATCCTAACCAATCAAAAATAAAAAAATGACTGAATATTTAATGGTTGACCGTTGCATTATAAAGGAAGGAGATGGTCCGGGGTTGCGGTCATAAAAAGGCTAAATAGTGGTAAAACTATTTTATTGAAAGCCTTCAATAAAATAGTTATTCAATAAAATAGTCAGCAGGCTTTCAATAAAATAGTTTTACCACTATTTAGCTTTTTTATGACCACAACCCCGGACCATCTTCTTCCTATAAAAAAATGACGCATTTGTTTGAAGTGATCAAGGGTGGTTTATAAGCAAAAGATAGACTTAAAGTAAAAATTAAGTCGAAATAAAAGGACATTATTTGAATTATATAAAAATGCAGTTATGACATATTTTTTTAAGTGTAATAAGGACGATAAGACCAGAACTTCACAATAAGTAAGTAAAAGTGATTCAGTAATATAAAAAATAGTAAGAAATTAAATGTGTCTGTTTAAATAATGATCTGGTTGTCAGTCAAGAAATTGCGTCGTATCATTGCAAAGTCCTAGCAGAATATAATAAATTAACAAGGTAACTTATATCTCCAATTAAAATTTCCAAAAGGATTTCTAATAATGACTTGAATATAATTAGCTTTCAGATGTGCTTAATATAGTGGATTTACTTAATAATTTTGAAGCATGAAACTAAATGGGTTTATCTATTTAAAGAGATGTTGGCCAGTCAATAAACGCGTCAATGAGACTTTACAATGATTCGATTATTAATTCGTAACAAAATATGTAAAAAAATAATGAAGTAATGTGGTAAGTAACCGGCTTATATCCTACATTAAAATTCTCAAAACTTTTTTTAAAACAATACATGCATTTAGGCACATGCTTTTAGAATTAGTTAAATTTGGGTGGACACAGAGGCGGATCTACAGTGGGGAGGGGGGCTTTCGGTCTGAAGCCCCCCCAAAAATAATTTAACCATGTTAAATAGAAAAAAATATTAAAAACTATCTCTTAAAGTATTATTGTTCGTGTAATTTCATTAAATAGGAATTTAAGAATCAATTAAACACCATGTCATATAGGCGAAAAAAATTGTGGTTAAGGAAGGTTATATCCAATTAGGAAATTGAATGGTCTGTCTATTTAAAGTGATAATTGTCAGTGAAGAAATGTGCTGTATCATTACAAAGTGGAAACAGAATGTAATAATGAAGTAATAAGATAAGTAAGGTAAGATAAGATAAGTATGGTAAAGTATGGTTAGACCCAAAATTGTTGTCAATAAGTAAGTATAAGAAGGGATTTAGTGTTAAAAAAATGTAGGTAAATGGGTCTTCCTAGTTAAAACGATGATGGTCAGTCAAGAAATGCGCCGTATCATTGCAAAGTCAAAACAAAAAAGAATATAACATCTTATAATAATGAAAATAATGAAGTAACAAGATAAGTAAGTAACTTGGTATATAAAGGGATATTTTTTTAAAATTTATATCTTTGAATAGTTGCTCAGAAATAATTAGTTGATTAAAATGGTTAAGCTTGACCTGAAAGAATTCACAATAAATAAGTCAAAGAGGCGTTATTTATCATTGCAAAACCACAGGAGAAGGTACTTAATACATGGTATAGTATAGTTAGACCCGAAATTATTGTTAATCAGTATCACAGGCGAATAGGAGGGGAGAGGGGAGCTTGCTGGCTGAAGACCTCCCAAAATGGCAAAATGTAACCATGTTTTACAGAAAAATTAGCTCTTAATGTATTATTGTTTGTGTAATTACATTAAATAGGACTTCAAGTATCACTTAAACACCATTTCATATAAATAGTTACTTTCTTTTTTTTTTTTAAATCCTGAATCCGCTAGCGGTAAGTACAAAGGATTTAGTGTTTTAAAAAATGTAGGATATTAAATAGTTCTTCCCATTTAAAGTGATGATGGTCAGTCAAGAAATGTGCCGTATCATTGCAAACTCGAAACAGAATGTAAGAATAAAGTAATGAAGTAACAAGGTAATTAAGTAACTTATTAAATAAAATGACATTTATTTTTAATGATATTTTTAAATAGTTGCCTAGAAATAATAAGTTGATTGAAATGGTTAAGCTGGACTTGAAAGAGTTCACAACAAATAAGTCAAAGAGGCGTTATTTATCATTACCATAGGTGAAGATACTTAATAAATGATATAGTATGATTAGACCCGAAATTATTGTCAATCAGTATCACAGGCGAATAAGAGGGAAGAGGGGAGCTTGCTTAATTTCATTGAATAGGACTTCAAGTATCACTTAAACACCATTTCATATAGGTAGTTAGTTTCTTTTTTTTTTTTAAGTAATTATCGTTATACATAGGAAAAAAAAATATTTCGGGCTGATGCTCTCCCCAACCAAAAAAAAAAAAAATTAAATCCTGGCTCCGGTAGTAGTAAGTACAAAGGATTTAGTGTTCTAAAAAATGTATGAAATTAAGTGGGACTCTCTATTTAAAGCGATAATGGTCAGTCAAGAAATGAGCCGTATCATTGCAATGTCAAAACAAAAAAGAATATAACATCTCATAATAATGAAAATAATGAAGTAACAAGATAAGTAAGTAGCTCACTAAATAAAGGGATCTTTTTTTTTAATGATATCTTTGAATAGTTGCTCAGAAATAATTAGTTGATTTAAATGATTAAGTTTGACCTGAAAGAATTCACAATAAATAAGTAAGTAACTACATTGAATAGGACTTCAAGTATCACTTAAACACCATTCCATATAAGTAGTTACTTTCTTTTCTTTTTTTTTAATCCTGAATCCGCTAGCGGTAAGTACAAAGGATTTAGTTTTTAAAAAAATGTAGGAAATTAAATGGGTCTCTCTATTTAAAGCGATGATGGCCAGTCAAGAAATGCGCCGTATCATTGCAAACTTGAAACAGAATGTAACAATAAAGTAATGAAGTAACGAGGTGACTAAGTATCTTATTAAATAAAATGAAATTTATTTTTAATGATATCTTTGAATAGTTGCCCAGAAATAATTATTTCATTGGAATGTCTAAGAGTAGGTTATTAAAAAGATTAAATGGGTCTATTTAATGAAATAATTGTAAGTAAAGAAACGCATTATTTATCAATGCAAAACCATAGGAGAAGATACTTATTACATGGTATAGTATGGTTACACCCGAAATTATTGTCAATCAGTATCACAGGCGAATCTAGGAGGGGGGAGCTTTGTGCAGAGCACCCAAAATGGAAAATATGACCATGTTTTATGGAAAGAAATATTAAAAAATTAACTGTTAGTGTATTATTGTTTGTGTAGTTACATTGAATAGGACTTAAAGTATCACTTAAACACCGTTTCATATAAATAGTTAGTTTAATTTTTACCAAAGTAATTATCGCTGATGCTCTTCCACAACCACGGGCGAATTTACGGGGAGAGGGGAGGGGGCTTTCGTGCTGAAGCCTCCCCCCAAAATGGTAAAATATAACCATGTTTTATCGAAAAAAATATTTAAAAATGATCTCTTAAAGTATAATTATTCGTATAATTACATTTAAAATGGCTTTAGGAATCACTTAAACACCAGTTCATATAGGTAGTTAGTTTCTTTCTTACTTTCCAAAGTAATTATCGTCATTTTTATGAAGAAAAAAAAAAGTTTTCGGGCTGAGGTCCCCCTAAATGAAATCCTGGATCCGCTAGTGGTAAGTACAAAGGATTAAGGGGTCTCTCTATTTAAAGCGATGATGGCCAGTCAAGAAATGCGCCGTATCATTGCAAAGTCAAAACAAAAAAGAATGTAAGAATAAAGTAATGAAGTAACAAGATAAGTAAGTAACTTATTAAATAAAATGACATTTATTTTTAATGATATCTTTGAATAGTTGCCTAGAAATAATTATTTCATTGGAATGGCTAAGAGTAGGTTATTAAAAAGATTAAATGGGTCTATTTAATGAAATAATTGTAAGTAAAGAAACGCGTTATTTATCAAAGCAAAACCATAGGAGAAGGTACTTAATACATGGTATAGTATGGTTACACCCGAAATTATTGTCAATCAGTATCACGGCAAATCTAGGAGGGAGGGGGAGGGGGAGAGCTTTTGGGCTGAAGCATCCCAAAATGGTAAAATGTAACCATGTTCTATGGAAAAAAATATTTAAAAAATTAACTCTAAATGTATTATTGAGTAATTACATTTAATATGACTTCAAGTATCACTTAAACACCATTTCATATAAATAGTTAATTTATTTATTTTTTTAATCCTGAATCCGCTAGCGGTAAGTACAAAGGATTTAGTGTTTTAAAAAATGTTGGAAATTAAGTGGGTCTCTCTATTTAAAGCGATGATGGTCAGTCAAGAAATGCGCCGTATCATTGCAAACTCGAAACAGAATGTAAGAACAAAGTAATGAAGTAACAAGGTAAGTAAATAACTTACATCTGAAAGAGGAAGAACACATAATCACTAAGAGGCGACTCGTCGAAAACAGACAGAGCGGCGGGACGAAAAAAGAGAAATTAAAAGGTCCCATTTTACTGTTATGTCACCGGATCCCTCCCCACCCTTCCCCCCCCCCCACCCGGGAACCCCCCACCACACGGGAGCACGGTGCAGTGTATAGAGAGTGCGGCGTATAGAGAGCGCGTATATATTGTGTATAATATTGTATATACCTGTGCTGCTTGAGGTTGTCCTGGCGCTTGAAGGTCTTGCCGCAGACCTCGCAGGTGAAGGTGACGTCGTCCTTGTGGGAGCGCTCGTGGATCATGAGGTTGTAGGGCTTGGTGAAGCGCCTCTGGCAGTACTTGCAGACGAACTCGCACTTGGCCCTCATCCTCTTCCTGAACTCCCTCCTCTCTTCGGTCTCGACTTGCATTATCGCGAACATGGCTGTTCCACTACCTCCCGCTCTCAAGGTTGTCTCCCACGGTCTTTGTTTCTCCACTCTCCTAGTACATTATCTCCCTCCTCGGGTCTGCCGCCAAGGAAAAGAATAAAATAAAATCAACAACAAAAATCAACAAAAAAAATCACCAAACATTTTAAATCGTCATAGCCTCTCTCTAAAATAATATGTGATTATTTAAATTATCTGTGGAAATTCGGCCTTTTGACCGCGCGCAATAACCCCTAACATGGCCGGCGGTGTTTTACGTTTTTTTTTTTTTAACTCGCCATATCCGTCCATCACTCGTTAAGTAACCACATTAATTTTGCAACTTTTTTTTTTATTTTGAACTCAACATCTGACAATTCATTCATTTTGATCTGCCATCACAACCTAATATACAACTTAATTGTCTACTCTGTTAAACATTATTGATTTCATTCATTCATGAATTAATTTTATTGATATTAAAATTAGACGGTAAAAAAAAATATATCTTTTTGAAAAATAAATTAAAAATGTCTAAAAGGAAGTTACTAAAAATATCTTTTTAATTATTTTTTCTTCACCCTTAGTAATAATTTATTTAATAATAAATGCTAATATTTTTATAGATTTTTACCCCATTTTTTTTTTGTAACTCAAGATCTGACAATTCATTTATTTTGATCTGCCACACAACGTAATATACAACTTAATTTTCTACTCTATTAAACATTATTGATTTCATTCATTGATAATGACGGTAAAAAAAAAAAAATATAGCATTTTGAAAAATTAAATTAAAATGTCTACAAGGAAGTTACTTAAAATATCTTTATTTCATGGGTTGAGGAATTTAATTATTTTTTTCTCTATCCTTAGTCATAACTTTATTTAATAATAAATGCTAATATTTTTATAGATTTTAACCACCTCTTTTTTTTTTTTAATTTTAAACTCAAAATCTGACGATTCATTCATTTTGATCTGCCCTCGCAAATTAATTTTCTACTCTGTTAAACAGTATTGATTTCATTCTTTCATGAATTAATTTTATTGATACTAAAATTTGATAGTAAAAAAAAAAATATAACTTTTTCAAAAAAAAAAATCTTTATCTTTCTAAAAAATAAATAAATAATAAAATAAAAATATCTACAAGGGCTTTACTTTAAAAAATCTTTATTTTGAAGGTTGAGCAATTTAATTATTTTTCATCTATCCTTAGTAATAAGTTTATTTAATAATAACATTATTTACAACATTAGTTTTTCATTCTTTTTTTCTTTAATTTTATCAAACTCTCCATTCATTTCGATCTGCTATCATAACTTAATTTTCTACTTTATTAAACATTATTGATTTCATTCATTCATTAATTTATTTATTTATCATTTTCAGGTAGTATAACGGTCAGTAGACGATATATTGACATTAAAATTTGACAGTAAAAAACCAATATTAAAAAAAAAAATGTCGACAAGAATATTACTCAAGAAATCTTTATTTTGAAGGTTGAACAACTTATTATTTTTTATCTATCCTTAGTAATAAGTTTATTTAATAATAAATGCTAATATTTTTGTAGAATTTTTTTAACCACGTTAATTTTTCTTCATTTTTTTCTTCATTATGTCAAACTCAACATTCATTTCGATCTGCTATCACAACTTAATTTTCATTAAAAATTGTAAATTAAATTTACATCCGTCGTAAAAATAAGCGGAATATAGACCACAACTTAATAAAAATGTCCACAAGGAACCCCAAATTTTTTTATTATATAATAACTGAAAATTATTATTTCCATTAAGTTGTCTTTTTATAATAATATCTTCTTTTTTATTAATTTTGATATATTTTTGTTATAGTAAGAAATTTAATTTATTTTTCTCTAGCTGTTGGTTATAAGTTTTTTTAACAATAAATGTTATATACATTTTTAGTAATACAATTAATATTGATTTACTTCCATCATTTATATATATATATATATATATATAAGGCTACTCTAAAAGAATATGTGATTATTTAAATTATGTGTGGAAATTCGGTCTTTTGATGGTGCATAATAACCCTAACATGGCCAGCCGTTTTTTTTTTTGTTTTTTTTAACTTGCCATATTCATCCATCACTCATTAAGTAACCACATTAATTTTGCCACTCTTTCATTTTATTTTATTCTTTCACTTTGAACTCACCGTCACAATCTTAATATACAACTTAATTTTTTAATTAATTCAATTTTAATTTTATTAATATTTTATTTCGAGCAGTTCAGTTATTTTTTCTTTACTTTCAAGTATCTTTTAAATAATAAATGTTAGTATTTTTATAAATTTTTTTTTTGTAATTCGTTTAATATTCTTTTAATTTTATTTATTTAATTTTATATCATTTTTTTTTTTTTTTTAGTATGATCTTTATATACAACTTATCTTCTACTCTATTAAATATTTATTTTATTTTTGTATTTATTACTAAATAAATTTAAAGGATTTATAAGGTTAAGCGGATCCTAGACCAGAAGACGATCTATTGATATTTAAAAAAAAAAATAATACTCTCTGGAACGAAACCATTTCACTGGAGACAGCAAAGAAATGAGATTATTATGTGTATTTCACTGTACATGAAAAATACTATAAGAATACCATTTTTTTTTTAAATGAAAAATTTAATCGATTGTTCTGTAGTTCTCAGTTATATGATATGTTTATAATTTTTAGTGATTCATTTAATATTGATTAACTCTATTTATTATTGTATTTCAATTTGTTATGTTTAAGCTATTTAATTTATTTCTGGTTATTAAAACCAAACATTTTTAATAGTCATAGTGTCCTTAATGTAATGTGTGATTATTTAAATCGTCTTATAAAATTCGGCCTTTTGATCGCGCGCAAAACTTTTAACATGGGCAGCGGTGTTTCAGGTACTTTAGTTTTTTTAACTTGCCATATCCGTCCATCGCGAGTTAAGTGACCACATTAATTTTGCCACTATTTCATTTATTTTTTTCATTTTGAATTCAACATCTGCCGTCACAACGTTAATATACAACTTAATTTTTTTTTTTTCTGTTCTATATATAATACCATTTAAAAATTGCATTTTTAAGCCAATGGAAATACTACGAAATTTCGTTGTCCTATATTTATATCTTGAGGTTCTGCAAGATGTTAATAACTATCAATTGATCCTTCTCTAACAATGACATGGAGTTTGGATTCTCTTAATTTATATCTCGATATTTTTAAAGATTTTTTATAATTCATTTAATATTGATCTATCACCATCCTTTATATTATAGATTTATATATTATAGATTATCCTTTATAGATTTTTTTTACCAGTCCTGGTCTTGGTCTTGCAAAGTACAAGACCAAGACCGATTTTGGGCAACACTCATGAAGATATGAAAATAAAAAAAATAATATCAATAAATATTTAATTTTTGCTCTAAAACTCTAAGCCTTAAATTCGATGTTAATCCATGAGAGGATGACATCAAGTTGTGCAAGAAAAAAATTGTTAGGTAAAAATTTGTATGGAATTATGAATTTTGAAGAGCACATTTTTAAGTAGTAATGAATTTTCGGGGAGAACTATCCAAAATTTTTGTAAGGTTTCAATTTGGAAGAACATACAAAACAGAGGGAATAAGGGTAAAAACGTGAAAAACAGTGCAGCAAGTCATCTTTGAAACGGTATACACACAGACGGACTAAAAACATACTACTAAACGTCTAAATCAATTAGTTTATTTGTGAAAATTTAACGATTTCTTATCAATCACCAAACAAGCAACAATAAACTCAATCACCCATGTGTGTGTGTGTGTGTTGTGTGAGTAAGTATGTGTACGTGTATGTGTGTGTGGATGTATACGTGTATGTGTGTGTGGATGTATACGTGTATGTGTGTGTATATATATATATATGTATATATATATATATATATATATATGTGTGTATATATTTGCCTTTTGCACGTAAATTATATTTAGTTTTCTTGCACTTTTAATGATTGTAACATAATTTTTTTTTTCATTTATATCTTATGTAGGTTTTTATGAGATTTTTCCTACTGTAAAAAAAAATTAATTTCCATTTTCGAAGCAGTATTCAAACTACTGTTATGTCAAGTTTAAGGTTACTACAACCATAAACTTGTAACTTATCTGTATGACATGTTGTAATATATAAATAAAAAAAAATAAATAAATAAAAAAAAAAAAAAGTGCAGCAAGTATATAATCTACAATTTTTATAATTTCATTTTCCCTTCAATTCTTAAGAAGAGGAGAGTATTATAATTTTTTTTTTTTTTTTTGGAGGGGGGAGGGGTATATCGACAGTACCAGAAGACTGATTGGCCGAGAATCTTAAGACATCATAACCGTTGTTCGGTATAACGTTACATATTATTGAGAAACCTCAAGTCAAGCGGTGCCGATTCGAATCCGGCTTGCGCATGTTGAAATTATATCATGGCAGACCAACTGATAAAAAATAATGATTTTAGGATCATTCCTTTTAGTTCCTAAATTCAGCCATTGGAATGAACATTTTTTTGCAATATATAAGGATAATAACATTCTCTATAATAATACTATTTTCTTATATATGTAAAAAAAGGTTAGTTATTTTATAAATTTTAACAAGACTTTTAAAGAGATTAGTATAATACTAGGAAGTATTAGTCACGCTTGTAAATCGCAGAGCGATGAATAAGATCAAATATGGGATTACCAAGGCGAAGAGGATAACTGGCAAAAGGTAGGAGATAAGAGATAAGGTTCTATAGTTGGTCCGTGATTCACTCTCCAACGCGGACTCAACTGGTAAATGGACGCGGAGAAAAGATGACGCCATTCCTTACAACCTTGCATCAGTGTTTACCTCGAAAGTAAATATCATATTTTATAAACTATTTGATCTTTCAGGAGTTGAGATTTCCTTCGTTACTAGATCGTAAGGACTGGAATCCTCGATGTTGGTTATCTGAGGGAAAAAGCTTTCTTAGTCTGGATGAAGATACACCAATAATTATTGTTATAATCCAGGAAAACAACTAATTATTTTGTTTCATTATTTTATATATTCAAATGTTATATAATTAATTCGGCTTTAGAATATTAATGTCTTAAGAGTAATACGACTTGTAAGGTTTGACGCTAAAACCGGTATTTTACGGTTCGAGTACTTTGTTTTGGAAGTAGAGGGCCAATTTCTCTTTCAACTGATAGTTTTTTAGAAAAGCTAGGTGTTGAATAGAATGAGATACAGAGTATGGCATAGTTCAATATTTTGGACTGACTGGGAATTCTCTACCTCTTTTAATTCTGGTCATTGCTTCATGGATCCGGGTGACAGAATTAGGAAAAATGAAGATGAGAAAAGAAACAAAACAACAAATGGCATTTTTATATACGGCAGTGTCAGTATATAAATGCTAGTTTAGTATGCTGTGTCCATTAGCGGATTCAGAATTTAATTTTGGGGGAGCTTCAGCCCAAATGCTTTTTTTTTTTTTCATATATATATATAACGATAATTACTTTTGAAAAAAAATACTAACTACCAATATAAAATGGTGTTTAAGTGATTCTTGAAGTCCTGTTAAATGTAATTACAATAAATACTTTAAGAGATAATTTTTTAATATTATGGAGATCAGAAGGCCATCTTCTTTTCAGACGCCTCGGGTGGTTATCAGGGATCGAAGAGGAAGCATTAGAAACAAGAGGATTAGGATGGTTCTGAAGTTTATTATGGAAGGATAGGTATCAGGATTGGGCCAATTTGGAAAGATATGAAATATTGAGATCGTTATGGATGATTTTATTTGTAGCGAAGTAAAGAGCACTGAGGAATTATTATAAGAGGAAAGTACACGAGAAGATTCCATGCTTTTATGGAGCCCCAAAGCTCAATTTCATGTGTCCAAATGAGCCTGATGATGGAAGTCTATATGAGTATTTGTAGAATATTGGATGTTTAGAGTGTTTGTCAAGTAAGTGTTGTAGTAGATGGAATCTATTAGCAGTTTCTTTTCTTTTCAGTTTAGTATAAGGAATCCAATTGAGGTGTTTGTCAAGAAGGAGTCCTAGGTGACAGAGATAAGAGTGATTCTGTCCGACAGAGGTAAGTGGAACATTTTTAAAGACTACTATACGATAGGATGTAACAGGTTTACGACGAAGATTAAAAGTAATTTGGATTAATTTTGATTTTCCAGTTTTGGACTGTAAGGATTGAATACGAAAGGAATTCTATGGTTTAGTGGAGCCCCAAAGCTCAACTCCGTGGTGAATATTTAAATTAAATATTGTTTAAGATATAATAAATGGATCAGAGCTAAGACTGGCCTTCCAGATATTGTGGAAAAAGTGCACATCAAGAAGTGGACCTGGACCATGTAATCAGGAGGAATGAATTAACATGGACCAGACAGTTTATGGATTGGTATCCAAGAGAGGACGCGAGGAAGAGAGGAAAGACTGGGAAAAGGTGATGAAGAAGACCTGTGGGGAAGCATCCTGGAAGAGAGTAGCATTAGAGAGGAAAGAGAGGAAACGGATGGAAAGGTTCATTACCTAGTGTGGTTGCAAGAGAGATAGGAGAAAAAAACAAAAAACGAAATCTAACTCAAAATCTGAACTAAAATGTTGATTTTGTACATATAAGAATGCCAAGTATAAATCTAAATGTAAAGATTTTGTATATATCTATTTTTTATCCATTGTTTTTTGCATTGTATGTACGAATAAAGAGTATTATTATTATTAAGTCCTGGTAAACAAAAATATAAACAAAAATAAAATAAAAGGTTATGAACGATTTTCAGACACAATTCAAAAGGTGGATTATGTGCTCTTGAATGCAGCCCCTTTACTACTCTTCCCGTCAATGAAATTCAAAACCTCCGACTCTCTCTCCCCGATAAATGCTAAACAGTCGGCCAGTTCATAAAAAGCCCACCGCAGAGGAACAGTAAATGTTTACGGTCTCGAACAGATAAGACTTCCCTTTGCAGCGGATAGAAGATGCCGCCTTGTGCCAGTATCTCTGCGATAGTATTCGCCGCAACACTATCGCGAAACTCGCGAATGATAGCGCATTTACACTAAAAAAATAAGAAAAGAAAAAATAAATCAAAAGAAAAAATCCTTCAATGCCGTTTTTTCCCACAATTAATGGCCGGAATTTGATACAGGTTTTTTTCCCACCCTGAAACAAGATACAGCCGAAGATAGTGCGAACAAATTGGAGAAGCGATTTATAAGCGGTGATGTATGCTCTAACTAACCCGTTGCTATGGGATATTACATTTCAGGATTCAGTTACCCGCGGAACGAATTCATTTGGTCCCGTATGGAAGTGCTGATCTTATCGGCGAACCTCATTGGAGGGTGGCAATAAATATTTGGCCAGCGCAGGGGATCCATCACCCGATCCCCCAAAAAGGGCAATCCGTTTTGGGCAGGGGCAGGCGCTAAGGCTCGCGAGAAGACATCCTTTCAGGCGAGTAAAAGGACTAACTTTTTTGAAAAAAAAATCACGATATTTAGTGTTGCCGAAATTCAAGACCAAGACAAGAATTAGATTGAGATCTTCTTAGGATTAAGCACATAGTCTTGGTCTTGCAGCAAGAGTCTCGCAAGTCTTGCAATTACCTATTACTACGCATTAAGCGGCTAAGTTTAGATCTTAGAATAAAGGAACAGAATATGGTACACTTTGAACTTATATTGATATATATATATATATATATATATATATATATATATATATATATATATATATATACATACAGGGTGTTTCAGGGCTAAGTGGGCAAATTAAAAAAATGAACTAAGGACCTCAAGATAAAAAAAAAATCCTCTGAAGGTATGTCCGCAAACACTTTCTTTATAAGATAAATAAAACCTATTTCTAAGTACTTTATTAATTAAATGTAATGTAAACATTCATTTTAAATGTTGGATAAAGTTTTACTAAAACCAATTTGGACTTAGAGGATAGAACTGTGGGGCTCTGCTAAAAACTCCAACATTAAAATGATTCAGTCCTTTCAGTCAAAATGACAATTGGTTTCTATGTTTATCACCATACTATGTATCAAAAGAAATAATACACATAGACTTAAACATCCCATCAATATGAATAAATAGTAAAATCCAACAAAAATAATAAAATTAACTTCACAATACTTTAAAATTGTTCTGCTAACTATATTGTCTTTATTTTTATTTTAAAAAACGCGTTGGTTTTTTTCTCTTGCTGCAAGCTCAAATACACAATTCAACAAGAAAAATTAAAAACGTTCTTCAGATTTAATGCAAGGACTAAAATGTACGTACTATACCTCAAAACATCAAAATTAACACAATAGCTTATAGTGTTTTAACGACCAATTTTGTCGTTAGATAAAAATGGAATGGTGGGTTTGATACCGAAATTAGGAAAGGTCCGATAATAGGTATCCGATAATAAGGTTCCGTAAAATAATACTAACTTTTTACTAAAACTGAGACAGATACTGAATACACATACATGCTTGCTTAAACCCATATGGACGTATTCATCATAAATATACGGTATCGCTAAAAAGACCCACCTACAAAAACGACAAACATTCAAATCAAAATTATTGCGACTCTTATGTTTTTATGTTAATTTAATTAAACATAATTACAGACTAAAAAGAGACATGGCCACAGCTGACATACTCCAGAACATGAGGAGGAGACTAAAAAGGCATTGGACGACAGATCTCCTTCCTTAAACCACTTAAATAATTGGAACAAGTTAGGGAAGAGGTACTGCTGAGTATTTTCCTTCCCCATGCCTGTCATATCATTATTTCCTGTATCGCCATCACATTTGCTGATTGTCAACTATAAGTTGACCCGCGCAAATACATTTTTTATAGACAAAAAAAAATTAACTTGACAATACATTAAAGACATTGTCAAGAAAAATAGCGGGGGGAAAATTTGTTATCGATTATTTGGAAATTTAAGAACCTTTTAAAAAATGTTACCACTACATACCACAGAGATATTATTGTCAGGTCCTTATGGATGATTTTATTTGAGACAAAGTAATGAGCAGTGAGGATTTCACGAAGGATTTTGGATTGTAAGGATCGAATACGAGAGGAATTCGATGGCTTAGTAGAGCCCAAGAGCTCAACTCCGTAAGTATAATAGGTCTTATTGTAATCATCTATATGAGTCTTTTGTAATTAATTGGAAGCTTAGAACGTTTGTCTAGTAAAAGCTAGAATAGTCGGAAACGTCTAGCGGTTTCTTGTTGTTTCAGTCTAGTATGAGGATTCCAAGTTAGACGTTTTTCCAAGTGAATTCCAAGGTATTGGATTTGTTCAACAGGGATAAGTGGGATATTTATTATTAAAGGATGCTGTAGAACAGGAGGACATAAGTTTACGACGAGATTTATTTGATGAGATTTATTGGAATTTATTTTAATCCTCCAGTTTTGACGCCATTCTTCAAGGTCAGATAGTAACTTAAATTCTCTAGTATTAGTAAATATTTCGCCTTAATTTATATTAACGAAACCGCGTTGTTGTTTTTTTGTACCTACCTTGGTCTTGGTCTTGCACTTCGTAAGATTTTGAGCAACACCAGTCAGCAACATAAATTTGTTTACAGACATCGAACCAAAGGTTTCTTTGTTTAATGTTTAAAACATAACAGGCTAGAGAAAATTTTTGATTCAGAGAAATATTTAAAAAGTTTTAACCGATATAATGGTTCCCTAACTACGCTGGTAAGGAAGCAGAAATTGAAGCGTCAATAAATCTATTTTTAAAATCTTCGAACGTCATGCGTCAAACCGACGCCTAGTAATGATTCTAATCTGCCGTTCGCATCTCATGTTATTATTAATATTATTATAAAATATGATCTTTTATTATAAATTATGATGGAAGAATAATAGTAGAGACATTGTGAGGTCTGGAGGTGTGGGAGTTGACAAGGCATATTAGAACCGATACCGCTGTCAGCGATGCTTGATCAATTGCTTCTCGGTCATCATTCATATATATCTACCATCTGTAATTAACATGTACCAACTCCCACCGTCTTAACAGCCTTATAATAATATAAGAATATTATTTTAAAATAGCTTCATACTCGTGTTTTAGTCTATTTTTATTCTTAGCTAAGACCTGAATTATCTTTTATCGTGTAATAGCTTTAAAAATAGAATTAATCCACGGTACAGACTGTTTTTATCAAAATATTAACATCTGTCTAAAACTTCGTTTCATGAATAAATATAATTTAAGGAAAGACGAAAAATTCATGAATATCCATATTCTTTTCCATAAGAATATCCATATTTTAATGGTAAGGTGTCTAAAAAAATATTGGGCCGTTTGGCCCGTATAACCTCGTTATTTTTACTGCTGGAGGTAACGCCAAAAAGGCCAATATTTCTCTTTTTTCTGATAAAATTATCTTATAATTCAAGTGGAAAGCAAAAGAATGATCACGAGTTTTTAGGCACCTCATTAAAAAAACAAAGTTTTCCGATATCTAAATTTGAAACGTCCCATTTTAGAGAATTTTTGTAAATAAAAATAATAGATGTTAATAATTTGATTTGAAAAAAGAGGACTAAATTGTGGAGTTCAATCTCAGAACAATCCATCTAAAATATATAAAATTAAAAATTGACGGTTTGTAAATGTTTCGGACTACGTTGCCGTTAAAATACCCAAAAAACTTTTTCTTTTTTTAAATAAAATAATAATTGTAAACTAAGAAATCATACTGTTGGGTCTTTATTAAGATTAAATCTAACGGAGTCAAATCAACTTAATAACTTTCATATTGAACAAAAAAAATACAATATTTTTCAAAAATAAACAATCCCTGTTTGAGAATATTATGGATGTTAATTAGGTTTATTTAAAAAGCATACTAACGATGGAATAAATACAAAACAAAGATGAAAATAGGTAAATGAAATTAATTATATATTTAACTAAATTCCTATTTTTTTAAATTAATATTTCGTATACTTTGCGAGCATAACAAATATTTTTCTTTTATTAAGTAAGTATAGCCTAACACCACAAAAAATATTATTTCAAAAATCCAGAAAGGATCTGTAAAAAAAAAAAAAAAAAAGATATTCTGGAAGGGATTGAATAAATAATAAACATTTAACACAATAAATTTTAAAATATAATGCAATGATATAATAATAAAATTTAATGATTATCAAAGAGTTAGTGACATTTTTTATTATTGTATAAATTTAAAAAAAATTAAATCTATTATTTAAAAAAAAATTAATTTCAATTCCCATTAAAAGTTATTTTTTTTTTTTAAAGAAAATAACGTCAAAAAGATTCCGGTCGAGACAACCCATAATTTTTTATTTATTTATTGTTTTTAATAATTTATATACATTTTATATATTTATTTATTTTATAAGAAATTATTTTTAATACCTGCGCAGTACGTAGTAACTTCTCATTACACAATAATTTTGGCAGCCAAGGTCATATGCTAATAAGCACGCCATCAACACATTATCATGCATAATCTAACAATGAGTTATCGCATGTTTGATGCTCCATCAATAATTGCTTGACTTCAGTAGTTTCCTTAATCGAAATAAGTATCTTTCTAAGTTTTATTTTAGCAAACAACTACAGGTGTAAATACAACGTTAGGATATAATTGGTAATTCCATGCACCAAGCATTCAGCCTTTAAAATGTAAGTAAACAAACTAACCAGACAACGTTTCGCCCATTCAGGTATAAGTAGGACAGAAAAAAACCTAACTCACATATATTAGACAAAATAAAACACATATACAGTGATAGTACTAATTTATATGACTTCAGCTGTATAACAGCTGGGGAAGCTAATTCAAAACAGCTGATCAGAAAAAAAATATCAAGAAAAAAAAAGTATAACAAACAACCACAAATATTTTTAAAAGTCATAAAAAATGAGAAGATGGGCATAACTAAGGAAATTTTTGTCTTTTTTGGCTTATGCAGCCGTAATTATTATAGTTACAAACATCTCCGTTGCACATTTAGAATCTATTGGGTCTCCTTTTTCTACTTAGCACTTTAAAATTAAAAAAATATTCAGTTATGCAGATATAATCTCCATTTAAAAAAAAACACTCTTTTGCACTAGTGATGGACACCTCGAACTTCAATTGTTCTAGTAATGGACAGGAGGTCGGTACAGTAATGGACATACTTCAGAAAAATTCTAATTTTTATTTAACTATAAAGATAAGATAACATAAATGTTCAACTTACTCTTAGCAAAACTGTTAGTAGGAAGGTATGAAACACACTGATCTCAAGAGTACTATAGAAACAACAATGATAAGCATTTTAAAATTTTCTTTTGGGAACTTTGTTCATACAGTTGTCAATAGAGGGCATTGTTCTTCAATCTAGAAAAAACTGGAACCTTTAAATCAACAAG